ATACTGCTGTCCTGTCTTTAAGAGAACGGCAGCGTGCCTTCTTTTCAGTTTCACCCTACCATCGGCCGGCAAGCCCTTGCTGACCGCTACCTGAGGCAAGTATGCCGACCAGAGGTATGTGTGGGGAGCTGAGACTGGGGGAGGCCTTCCTGAAGGAAGTGTAGCGATATGTCGGAGTCCAGATTCATGGTCAGAGGTTGAGGTTAAGGGTGTTTCCAAATGAGGCTCCCCTTGCTGCAGGATTAGCGTCTTGTCGGGTTCGATTCACAGACGGACCCTCCCTTGACGCACTTGCTCCAATGGAACTTCGGTTTAGCCTGTCATCCGAAGGATTTTCCTTTACAACAGCCCCTACTTTTTGCCCTCGGCTCCGGAGTATGGATAGAACACATTGCATTATCTTTTAGCACGGTATACTTTAGCATGAAATCGAATACCACATAATATAGCATAGGCTTGTAGACAATAATGTAATCTGTGACTTTTTATGTCTGGGCGAGGAGGAAGCAGAAGGAGGGTCCGAAGTGGAGGCTCTCGAGGGGTCTGTCCTCAAAGCGGGTTACCTTAACCTAAAGCCCGGAGGAGCTCCAAGAAAAAAGGGAAGCCCGAAGGGCTGAGCCTTAGACCTCTGCTTTCAACCGGTCCTTTCAGGGCTTCGTTTAAGGTGTTCTTTAAGGGGGTCCTTCAAGGGGGTCCTTCAAGGGGGTCCTTTAAGGCGTCCTTTGAGGGGTTCCTTGAAGGGTTCCTTTACGGGGTCCTTTAAGGGGGTCCTTTTAGGGTTCCTTTAAGGCTTCCATTTGGGGAGGTCCTTCAAGAGGGCGGGGTTCAGGTTCGACCGCTTTGGCCAGCGCGTTCTGGACAATGCCTGGAACGGCTTCCACTGCTGCCTCTTCGCGTATGGGCAAACAGGTGCACTGCGCCCGAAATCCTGAAGATAATATAATATTCTAACATATAATATAACGGCGTGGAATAATATAAGAAAAATAGAGTGATATACTATAGTATAATGTACCATAATCTAGCATGGCTTCAGCTCCAAGCTGAACGTTGCGAAGTTCAGTTGTTTTCGGCCTAGGGTTTCGGATGCAGGGTCTGTCAAGTTTGAGCTTTTCAGGGTGGAGAGTTGGGGTTCGAAATGCTGCATGCAATGTGGCATCACTAGCAGAAATACTTTGCAAGTCCACGACCCCAAGATTTTTACGTCCTAAGCCCTAAACCGTTTGTGGTGTAACCTGCAGCGGATTTGCCCTCCTCGAACCCTTAGCTCCCACACAAGCACCCTACAGCAAACCGCCATGCATGGGTTTAGGGTTTGGAATTCAGGGTTGAGTTCATGGTCGGGTCATGCGGACCTGATGTGATGCAGGCGTGCTTTCTCCCCATGGTCCCTTTCAGAAGGCTGTACCCCTTATCCTTAAACCCCAAGCTCTCGTCTCTAAATCCTGAAAGAAGCCAGCCGAACCCCGCAACCATTCGTCTTGGGCCCTGGCAGGTGCTGGCAAGAGCTACTCTATGGTCGGCCTCTTGAACGCACCATGAGCTTTTACTGCTCTTTAGGGCTAGGGTTCAAGGATACAAATCATTATTTGCATTCTCACGGTGTGGGATGCTGGTATGCTCTGCGGTCAAGAATTCAGATGAGGCTGCGGCTGTGAACCTTTCGGGTTGCCACTTATGGCTTCTATCATAGTCGGCTAAAGTGATCGTGTGCGAATTTGTCCAGGGGTTGCCTAGTACGCTTCAGCTGACAGAAGCCTTCAGGAAGTCCCGCCGTGATAGGCCTCTTCGTTGGAAGTCCCGAATATATGGAATCAGGCCCTACCCAGCCCAAAACCGCGGAAACACCACTCCAAACCCACAGCGCCAAGCACGCTTAAGCCCGAAAGCTAAAGTGCCACGTCGAACATCCCTCTGTGCTTGGTGAAACACGCCATCGAGGGCTTCTTAAGATTTTGGTGGGGGTCTTGTCATTGAACACCAGGCATGTCCGGTTGTGCGAGCAGTGGGCTTCGAAGTCGAGGGTTGGATCGCTTCTGATTTTTGCGCGCTGCTGTCAGGTTATGGCAACAACAAAGGAATTGTGCCGATTTCATGCGAGGACGGCTGGGGTGACAGCTTGCGTGAAGAACATGTTGGGTTTGTCCCAGGCTTCAACATGGCAGCAGCAGGATTGTCCTGAGCAATTCCTGCAAGTTGCTGCTACTGCTGCTGCTGCTGCTGCTGCTGCTGCTGCTGCTGCCTGTTCTGCCTTCGCTGCTGATGTTGCTGCTGCTACGAGCCCTAGCTGCGTGAGCAAAGCTGCTGATGACATTCTTCATGTCAAAATGACATAATGGCAACAAGACAAGACTCGCAAAGCCACGCCCCCTGTGCTCTCGACCTTGTTTTCTTGCACTTCTCATCCTCGATAATGCGGGACGGGGTCCTGCCAAACAACACCCAAATTCGTGGCTTTCTTGTGGTTTTCATGCCTGAAGGCCTGGAGAGTGAACCCCGAAGAACCTTCACAGATGATGCCCTAAACCTTGCCTTACTAGCCTGTCTCCCGTGCCCTCGACCCTAGACCCTAAACTCCTCACAAGCCCTCAACCTGAATACCCTGTAGCCTAAACCCTAAGCGCAGCTATCCAGCCAGTGCCTGAGGCTTCGGGGTCTTTGGGTATCTCGGACGTTGCAGCTGGAAGTGATTCCTAGTAGCCTCAATGCCTCTATGCCAAAGCGTCCAACCCTTAGAACTGTGTACCCTCGACGCAGGAGATTTTCCGCCGAATCGGGAACGAAACCGACAAGAACAAGAGGTGCCGAAAGAACCGAGCGTGCGTTTCGGATCTCACTAGGAGCGAAAGACGCAGATGACGCTGCTTGCCTTGAACTGTGCAAATTGCTGTGTTTGTTCGCGATGTTTCAACCCTGACACACACCCGAAGAAACTGGCACTGCACTTGGTCATGATGCCGGTGACTACGACGACGACGATGATGATTGTGGTTGTGGCGAAAGCAGTGATGGTAGTGATGGTGATGGTGATGCTGATGCTGCTGATGATGATGATGATGACGACTTCAAGAACCAAGGGATCCGCACATAACGCTCGTACAGACTCCATCAAGTTTGAGTACGGCAACACGACACGACCGGCTGTGAAGGATGACTGCCAACAACTAACATGCAACAAGCACGGAGGGACAAGATGCCGGTGCCTACAGGTAAGTATTGGCTTCCAACAGAAGTCTGCATAGGCATGTCATATCGACAGCACATTTGTGATCGCCAGCCAGATCGACAATAAGGGCTACAAGGAGTAAGATTGAATATCCTGCAGACGCAGCGCAGATCGTAATGGCAAGTGTAAGAAAAACATCAGACCACATTGAAACTATAGCCCCTAAACCATAAGCCCTAAAAGGGCCCTAAAGAAAAGAAGCCTGAAACCTTAAACCCTGAACACTGAACCCTGATCGCTGCGAGGTACGAGGTCACGGTCTCCATGATCGAGATCTACAACGAGGCCAGGCATTTCACTTCGACGGAGCACAAGCCTCCTTCTTCCTTCTTTCAACCCATGAAGTGTCATCATAATTCGGAACACCAGACCTTCTATGGATAGCGATGCGTTCAGCCTTTACAGATTGAGAGACAGTCCCTGAACCGACATGCCAGAAGCTTGCAATGCTGCCTCAGCCCCGAATGTCGTAGACCGGGGTCGTCACCCCAGAAGTTGAGTATTCACCACGTCGAGCATGTTGAGCCAAAAACTCGATCAACGAAATCTGCATGCTGGACCCTGAGCCTGCACTGTAGCGGTCAAAATTCAGTCAAAACGCCCTCTTATGGTCTCTATATACGTAGTTATACTCTCTCTCTCTCTCTGTCGCACCTGTTCCGGATGGATCCATCGAGATTCCGAGGCAGCATGCAGTTCTCGCAGCTGCATAAGACTCCGCTCTCCGTACTAAGACGGCGCCGTCCCCTTCACAGCGCACCCCCTTATGTCTTGCGTAGTTATGCCATACAATGTACCAAACAATCAAATTCTGACGTCCATATACCCTAAACCCTAGACCCTAAACCCTGAGCCCTAAACCCCAAACCCTAAAATACTGAAGCCCCAAAACCCTCCTCCCGAGGCGATCCAGGACCTGCTGATCGACCCCTCGCTGAGGCCCAAGAAGGGCCTCGAGGTGCGCCGCTCGCCTTCGACTCCTTTGAGGGGTTCTCCTGAGGGTTCTTGTCTCTTTTTGGTTCGATGTAAGGTTCTTATGAGGCTTCTGTTTGTGGGCTCTTGTGTACTTTTCTTCTTCGGTTTTTGCGCCATTAGAGCTGGTTTCTATATGAATTGAATTCTTTTGAAAGAGAACGTTGCGGGTTTTTCTGTTGTTTTTGAACTGTTGCTTCATGGGTTTACCTGCCAACTCCTGACTCCAAGCGGCCAGCGGGCTGCGTCTGGAGCAAAGGCTTCCACGTCTAGCCCCCTAGATTGCGAAAAGCATCGGAAGTTGAAAAGAACCAGAGCAATCCGACGAGAGTCTCGTGACATGGTGAAGCTAGCACCGCCGCAAGCTACAGTAGATGCTGTTGACCATGAGAAAGACTTGAAGTTCAATTCGCATCGCCATCAGTTTGGATTGATGTTGCACTTGAGACATCAACTAATTGCATCTCAGACGGCTTGGCTGCAGCCATCTGTATGGGAATCGGTGGAAGCTCCACAACATGGGTCTGAAAATCCACAGAATCATGAACAACGGCCCTAGACCGGAAGCTGCAAATCCGCACCCGAAGCCCTCGAAAGCCACTGCCTAAGCCAAAGCCCTGGTTGACTGATGCACTTCAATCCTGATCCCAGGAGAGTCCAAGGCAAGGGGGCTTCTCGTTTGCTTCGCTTCCCAAGAGGACTTCGGAATAGTAGTTAGGCTAGGGAGGCTCCGATTAGGTGAGCAGTAGAAGTCGTCGTTGTCGTTGTTGTCCGGCAGCGGCAGCGGCAGCAGTGGCAGTAG